TATCTCCAACAGTCAAATGGATTCTGGGCATCCAATGTGAAGTCTACCAGCATCTGAATATCCATACATCATCTACCTACTGCATAAGTAGATGAAACATGTATTTTCTTCCCACCCTTTTGAAAACTTCATTTCAAACATTAAGGTACTTCATTACACTGTTATTCGAATGTATCATAGCACAACCTTAAGGTATTTCTCATGTCAGGATGGAGGCAGCATAGAGCTCTAACTTTAAAACAAACTTATATGTAATAAAATTAAAAGCAAAAAAAAACCCCCCCACGACCTAAAAAAAACAACCTCCCCCCAAAAACAACCCTCCAGAAACATATACAGCCTGGTACTGTCAGCTTGGCTCTAATCACAGAAAACCACAAAGTATCTTTCTCATTAAGCCAGCTGCTGACTTGTAAGCATCATCTGAGATGCTTTGCTTCTGGCTGGGCTAAGGATCCACTTTTTCAGTTGATGTGAGAACAACTGCCTGTGGCAAGTGCCTAAGGTGAAAAAGAGTTTCAGCTGTACCTTTCTCATATCCAAAGACCTCTTACACTCAGTGCAAGAGATGAGATGCAGAAGGCAGGCAGAACTGTCACTATTTTAGGATCTAAACTTACATCCCTTTTTCGAAAGTTCACAGAACATGTCTTGCATAGTTATGCTCGTTATCAGTAAAAATGGGAACTGGATCCTAAATCATCACCAGTAGCCTTTTAAAATTCAACTCTGAGACTACCAAGATTTCACTACATGGAAGAGCAGCTGTTCCCAAGACTTGATACCTTTTCAGTAATATAAGGTGAAATGACACAAAAATCAGAAAATAATAAAATGTTAGAGTAGTTCGGGTTGGAAAGGACTTTAAGATCATCCAGTTCCAACCCCCTTGCCATGGGCAGGGACACCTCACACTAAACCCTGGCACCCAAGGCTCTGTCCAACCTGGCCTTGAACACCGCCAGGGATGGAGCATTCACAGCTTCCTTGGGCAACCCATTCCAGGGCCTCACCACCCTCACAGTAAAGAACTTCTTCCTTAGAGCCAATCTAAACTTTCCCTGTTTAAGTTTTAACCCGTTACCCCTTGTCCTATCGCTACAGCCCCTAATGAAGAGTCCCTCTCCAGCATCCTTATAAGCCCCCTTTGTCCTTAGTTTTTCTACTTGCCTAGAAAGATATTTGTTGTGAAGTTACCAACTTTGAGAAGAACCAGACAGCTGCTTTGTCCATGCAGTGCTCAAGGGAAAACATGCTTAAACACCTCTACCTCACAATATTCGCATCCTGCCATGCAGGGGCAAGAAGTGTTGAGGCCAGCCTGAAATCCATAGCAAGGTTATGCTGATACAGGACTCAGTAATCCAGATCCTCAGCCAAGGAAACACAGTCACAGTGGACATAGCTTTCAAGGTGAAGCTACTTGTTTGCCCATGACCTCATTAACCACCCAGTGTGGGACCCTGAATAGATGCTGTGGTCTTCCAGCTGTCAGATATGCCTTGAGCGCACATCCTGTGGCTCTACACCACATAAAAGCTTTGCTCTTAGATTCATAGGCTCAGCAAGGTGATGGGGACGTTGCACAATTCTCAGCCAGGCAGACTCTTGTAACATCCACTGGTGTAGATGGATTATCTTCTTCACAGTGGACTAACTAAATACAGGCCTGCCTGTCTGCTGTTCCTACACAAAGGTCTTTAAAAACTCTTGCTGAGGTGGCTGAAGCAACTAGGCATTTCCCAAAGGGGGTGCTGCAAACCCTACACTAGTTTCCTCTAAAGCCTGCAACTTTGCTTGCTGTTAATCAGCTACTAAATAAAACTCACACCTTCCTATGGTGCTGTTTACTCAGAAGAGCCAAGGAAACCACATTAGGAGGTGGTTTAACCCTTCAGGTAATTATCTAAAGCAGCTGTAATTAAAAATCTTCCTGTAACTGAACAAACTGGCATCAATACTTCATGCTCGGAGGCAGAACAGGACTGCCCTGTTGCTTGACAATTTGAAGATGGCTGACAAACAAGTGGCAGAAAGTTGAAGAGATGATCTGCCCAACATAGAAGTTCTTTTAATTTACCATGCCTTGTTAATGAAAAAGGCTTTTACAGTGCTGAGCCACCTAAAGTAACTAACAGTTCAAATCAACTCTGTATAAAGGCAGAACAAATTGTATCATTTGCAATGCAAATGTGATTTCAAGCTTCATTAGCATCTTCTTTAAGGTCTAGTGCCTCAGCAGTAGGATAGAATGATGCTCCTCAGCCTCCTAGACATGCGCCAAATGCCCTGTCACTCCTTAGTTCCTTTCATCACGGAATGCAACAGAGGAAAGCTACATTCATCAAAAGCCAACAGTGGTAACACAACTTGCTTTGCTCCAATTTGGAACTAAACCCAAAAGGCTAGATTCCATTTTAGTGGAGTAAATTCCCAAAGAACCCAAATATTGCCATTAATTCTGCCTTTGCTTAAATAGCTTCCTCAGCAGTGGATGTGAATGAAATTGAGTATTAAGTTCCTCAAAACCAACCCAGACCTCTGTGAGCTTTCTTTTACTCTCAGAATTGCAAATGAAATCAGATTCTGACAAAAAAAAAAAACTTTATAAAACTGGAAACATATGATAAGAGCACCAGGGTTTGACTGCTCCCACCCTGCTCTGCTTTTCTCCCCTGCATCTCTTGTGCTTACAGCATGAAGGCCAAATTCTGCTCCATCACACAGGAATGCAGCAGTGAACAGTGGAGTTGTGACCCTGGGACCTGAGCAGGGATGGGAACAGCAAAATTACACGGCAAGGAAAAGCAATGTGCACGCATCAGGATTCATAAGTACAGGCACAGCACTGTGTTGATCCAGACCTCCCAGCATATGTGGATGACTCCATGGTAAACTATTTGGTGGCTATATAATATGCAATCTGTTTCATACCGAGTTCATTTAATGGAAGATACAGGATCGAAGTAATGATATTTTTGAAACATAATATTAGAGATACTTAAAGGTTACTTACAGAGGAAACCTTATTGGTTAAGTTGGGTTGTGAATTCAAGCTGCTATGATTACACTAGAATAGCCTTCCATGAGGGTACGAGGGTACCGGATCAGTAAAGCGCCACATAATAAACTTAAACAAGTCCTCAGAAATATCCTTATTTGCATAACTGGAGAAGACTTCCCGTGCACACAAGCCTCCAAGGATGGTTGAAGGGTATGGAAATAGCAGTGTTTTGACACCGCAGTCCACTAGAGGTCCTGCTCAACTCAAAATGATCTAACCTCCCTCTATGAAACATGATAAAATGCAAATGAAAATATGTCCAAGTTGTGCACACAGACTGGCTACATAGATGCATGTGCTAAATTTAGGAAATGCAAATATGCATCTGATTCATACCCCCAGTGACTGCCAGTGCAGGAATAAATCACTGACTCAGGCCAGGGTAGCCAGACCACTGACTGCTGACCATTCTGTGTACATAATCGCACCAGCTGCATGCACAGTTGAATAAACACCTGTAATCAAGTCAGGCTCTGTATTATTAAAAAGAAAGCTGAATGCCTGGTGCCACATTCGGTCTTAAATCAAAATCTTATCTGGGGTTCATGGAACAGTTTCCCAAGGTTTAGCACAGGGCTGGTGAGAGCCCATCTGGCATTCAGGAGTCTAGCATGAAAGTAGGTGCAACCAGTACGTCTATTGGGAGCCAGACAATGGTAGGGAGAGACGTGAAAAATCAAACTCTGTTGGCAATTCAAAAGCAGCTGGGTGTGAGCAAAAAGATAGCTGTGCAGCTGGTGGCATCAGCTAAGGCAGAAGGTACCTTCAGTGAGGCTGATGCACACAGAGTGTTGGTTGCACAAAAAAATCTGAATGGGGAAACAAAACACGGATTATATGTACAGACAAATGTGCCTTAGATGATGTGTTGAACTTGGATCATTAGATCAGCAGGGCTGGAGTTCAGCCACTTTGGGAGCTGATGTGCCCCCTTTCAACCATTCACTTTTTGGGAAAGTGACCCATAGAATAGTTAGGTTTTCTTTTTCCATGGGGAGCTGTGGAAAACTGAGCAGGCAAATGGAGTGAGTGGCAGAGGACTGGAATGCAAGGATGCTGTGAATGCATGGCAGTCACTCATTGCTTTTTCACAGCCCACTTTAAATCTTGCTCTGCCAGAGGTAGAGCAGAAGAGCCTTACTCAGCTCCTGGTTTGCTCTTTGAGTCATAACTTTTTATTTTATTGACAAAAGCAAGTTTTCCACCTTCTCAGCTCTGAAGAACCAGCACAGGGAGCAGATTCCCCTGCATGCATCACGAAGACACAGCACAGCTCTCACAGCCAGTAGCTTTTTCTGAGGAATGGCAGATGCAGACAAATAAAGACCAGCTGGCAGAAAAATCAAGTCCTGATGTCTCATCTGAGGCTCGAGTTTTACCTTTGCATTTGAGAGGTCTCCTTTAAAGCAACACAAGAGGCTTTCCAAAGCTGCACACATTCCATTGCTCTGAAAACTTCTATAATTGTATCTTGTGAACAGACATGAGTCATGAGCAAGATTCTGAAAGACAAAAAGGCTTTAAAATTAATCTAAGTAATCATCACATTACCATCAGTGCTGCTTAAGTCCTTCCTATAACTTACTTTGTCATTTTACAGATAAAGATAAGCACATGAACAGTGTCCAACTGGCCAAGCTACCACAGGCTATAGGTGGGGATATGGGAGGAGAAAAGCAAAATGATACTGAGGGTTAGCTGAAAGGGATCCAGCAACCTGGTGAAGGGACAGATAGAGAAAGCACTCGAAATAACTGAATAATATTTTCTTTCCCCCCAGAAAATATTTGTTTAACTTTGAAACCTGAGCATCCAAACAACAAGGCTGCATCTGCGTGTTCAGCTGATGTTCTTCCTCACCATTTTCATGTCTTTTATTTGGATATTCAAGTAAGCGATGTCCAGAGCCACTGAGAGTCCGCAAAGCTGCAGTTACATATCCAGCTGCAGCCCAGGACATGGTTTTATGCAGGGCTTTGGTATGGCCTCACTCTTTTGCAGGAGCCTCTATATCAGAAACATCCACTGCCTTTCCATTTCTTGGTAATGGCCCATCTTATCCTCCTTACAGTTGAGACAACTTTGCATCCTGAGCAGAGGAACATCATACAGCAGAGTCAAAACAAAGGAAATATTTGGAACCAAGACAGAAGCCAGAAATTTGTCAGTTTTGGAGCTTTGTCTGCAATAACCCAGGAAGAAGGTCACAGAGGGAAGGACCTGATCAAGCTGAGATGGTCTGAGCAAAGCCCAGTGTCCCTAGGAAGGTGATGAGGAAAGGATGGGGGAATTGTTAATACCATAACTACAGCCTTCAGAACTAGAGGTGAGGGGTACAAGGCCTGCAGTAAATATGGGAGAAATGTGAGATTCAGTAGGTACTGCTGCACCACACAAAGTCCTTGCAGTGTTTTTCTGATAGAAAACAAGGTCTCTCATGTATCACTTCTAACTTCCATCAAGTATCAATGCAAGTGCACTACATCGCTCCTTAAAGTCCCATGGAAGCAGGTCACAATCTTCTTGTCAGATCATAGCTAAGAGGCACTATACATATATTTATTTCCATCTATTTATATAGCTTCCATCACCATAGTAACTTATCCTTCTGTTAATGCTACACGATATCTTCCTTTATTCAGGAGAAGTGAAATACAGTTTCCCATTATGAGCACACAAGGTTACTGCACCATTTTCACAGGTGACTTCAAGACCACATCATGGCTTGCCAAATTCTGCTGATTACTTTGGCCTGGGGTAGAAGAAGGAAAAAGAAGCTCTTCTCCAACAGGGCATCAGAAACAACACTGCACTGGAGCGCAGAAAAGAGCAGTATTTATTCTTGCGTTCCGTTCCATCTCATGCCAAATCAAGCGCTCTAAATATTGGATTTTTTTTTTCTCCTAATGCTTAAACTACAAAAAATAAAGGCAAGAGAGAATCTGAGTCCAAAGGGAGGCTGCAGGCACTGGTTACTGCATCTAATCACTGAAAGCTGTAGGGCTCTGAATATATTTCTGATTATGTTTCAGTTCTTCATTATTAAAAATGGGCTGCAGTTGATTCATAGTTTTGCTGCAATCAGCTGAAACCCAATTACCATCACAGCAGAAACCACTTCTGATGCGGACTTTCAGACTTCCAGGAAGAAATACCACTGTATTTCTAATGCACTAATTTTCCCCAGTGGCAAATACAGCTCATTTGTTTACACAGTTTGGAACTGTCTATAAAACTTTGTACAAACTAAAAATTACATGGACTTTTAGAGAGGGTCTGGACCACTCAATGGAGCTGGATTTTTCCTTTCCAGTGAACTTTAATTTGACATGGACCATGGCACTATGTTACAGCATCAGCAAAACAAATCTTTCCACCACGGGAGGGAGCTTGCCTCTGGCCTCCTGCAGGCGAAGAGCCCACACGGCACTAACATGCCCTACCTTCGTCCTGCAGAGCCACATCCTGCTCTCCCCGGTTGTCTTCTATCTTTAAAGTCAAATCTTTTCTCAATAGCCCACCAATTTTCTTTAGAACCACCACGGGGTAGCAGCAGGTTAAGGAATAATGTTTATCTTTTCGCCAGACATTCAGCATAAGCAGTGTGAGCAACAATGGCTTGTCACTCTGCCCATCTCTTTTTCCTTCCCTCCCTTCAACCTGTCACTTTTCTCTGGGATTGCTCACACAAAGAACTAGGAAATTACTTCCATTTTCCCTGAATATTAGACAGTTCCTCTGTAGATTCACTTTTAGTGCATTCTTCCTACAGAACAACAGCCCAAAGGGTGTTGGCAGGCATGGATGGCAAGGCAGCTGAGGAGTGTCACAAGAATCAACAAATCATTAAGCCACTACTGTGTTCTACCTCTTATTATAGGTAGCTTGCATTGCTAATGTGTTTAATTATGGCAAAATATAGCCCACGTTCAGAAAGAAGATAGATTTGTGCATCAAAGTTCAGGCTGCAGTATAGAGAAGCACAGAGAAGAGGAAATGACAGAAGAGGGTTATTAGGAAATCGCCAGCAGGAGAGAAATAAAGCATGCTGTGTCTTTGTGCTTCTGTCCTTCTTCAGAGGTTGTCAGTGAAGTCACATCTCTATTGGCAACATCACAATCGTCTCCACAGCAACAAATGTGATGCTGCAGAACACTGAAATATCTATTTTTAAAAAGGTAGGAGGAAAAAACAAATATGGAGCATGTAGGGGTTGAGCAGCCACACGTCTAATGACTATAACGGAGGTGCATGGAAATACTCACTGAAAGAGAAGCAGAGCAAAATCAGCTACTGAAAACGTCTCCAAACGTAACATCTCCTGGACCCCACATTACACTTCACGGGCAAAGATAGCAAAGAAGTCACAGAGGCAGCAAGATTCTCCCACAGCCGGTATCACTGCCTTTGCTCCAAGGTGCTCCCAGTCCCACAGAGCCAAGCTAGGCAAGTGCCAGCAGACGTGCTCACAACCATGAATGAAATATCTGTGCCTGTGACTTGCATAGTAAGAGGGACCAGCAAAAGCGTAAGCTTGTGTTTTACACCGTGTTAAGGAGCAGTAACTTTTCAGAGGAGGACCACTCACCCTTAAAAGGGCCTAAGAAGGATTTGCAGCCATAAAACATAACAGGAATTAAAGTGAAAGCAACTTTACTTTCCAAGTCTGATCTAGATGCAGCCAAAATGTTATGAGAAGAATTGCCTTTAGGTTCCTTTAGCTGTTGCTGAAAACACTAGGAAAGTTCTGTTATAATTTGTATCATCCAAGGTTGACACAACCTCTTCAGGTTAGCTGTTCTTGGGAACAGCTTTGTGACATTTTGGACTCTATTGAAAACTTCCCTTAAAACGCAAGCGTGTGTGAATCTGAAATCTCACTGACTGGCTCTGTCCCAAACCTTTCTGCTCAGGTCAGGCCTCCTGAGTGGCTGAGAATACCTTCTCCTTAGCAGTCAGAGAGTGGGATGCTAGAGAGAAAAACCCTTTAATCATCCTTGAGAAAACAGCCTTGGTTTAAAACGTAAGCTGCAAGAGGGCTGGCTGCAGTACTGAATTCTGTAATGAACTTAATTCTTTCATTTCTGAGACAACTCTCTTTAAAAGCCATTTTGTCATGAGGCCCAGTAGGGCTGCCTACAAAAGGGAGAGGTGGATGCGTTCTGTTCTCCTTTACCCTCCCCTCAGCCATTCCTGGACTCTAAATAATGATCTTTCTCATGCACGAAGAAAGCAAGCAGGACACTGGCTATCAGCAAGTGCATTGCTGGGTGGGACAGGTCCTTCCCCACCGCATCGGACAGCATTTACTTACAAAAAGCACCCAGAAAAAAAAAAGAGTGTGGGATAAGAATAGATTTGGGCAAATGAGTAGCAGTGACCTGCAATGCCTCCGAATGCCTCATATCACATTCTAGACAACATTGCTATTCCCTATGTTTGAAAATTTTAATCAAATTTATGCAAAACATAATTCTAAAGAGATGGAAAACTCTTAAACTTTGTATAGCAAATATAGTACTGTAAATATTTGTAATTGGCTCTGCGAATTATGTTTTATACTGCTTTGGCTGTGCACTGTGTACGTATTGAAATCAGTAGTTTATCACCGAAGCTGGCTGATAGTTTCCACTGCATGCACACTAACAAGAACTGGGATATGAGAGTACAATAAATACTGTGGAATAAATGGGAACACTTCTCACTGCAGAAGTAATATATCTTTCTTCAAAATGTGTCTCTCTCCTCTCCGGCTTGACGACACAATTTGATTGTCTTCAGCCAATCTGGAAAAAACCCAAGCCTCAGAAAATGCCAATTTCTCAAAAAAACAGAGTAATGTATCAATTTTTAAAAAGGTTTCATCTGGAAATGTTTCAGACCCTGAAGGACTTCCAGAAAGTCTAGGGAGTGGGAAATGTTTGCCCTGCTGGCCAGCGATGTCTGGAACACAGATCTAGACTCCTTTTCTCACTGGATCAACCCAAATGAGTGCCCACGCTCCGAGAAGCCTGCTCTTGCAAAGCAGGTAGATCTCCATCAGAGTTGTGAAAAGCTTCCAGCCTCACCCTCCAGCACAGCTCACACTTTTTTTTTTCATGCCACAGTGAAAATATTTTTTTCAGGACAGGAAATCAGTTTCCTTCCCAACTCCATTTTTAACCAGCAAGCCAGAACAAACCCACCTACTAAAGCTTCCTCCGTGCTTTCAGAGGTTTCTCTTTCTCTGCACCTTGCAACAACTACAATTCAGATATGCATAAAAAAAATGAGAAATAACAAGGTGATGGCACACGGCTGTTCTGATTTCTACAGCAGTAGAGCCAGCTGCCTGCAAGAAGAATGAGGCACAAGAGAAAACCAGACTACCCCTCTCTCCCTTGTATGAATGAACCCATAAGATGAACAATCCTACCCGAAGCAGGCCCATGGGCACATATAGCAGGCTCCTGGCAGTGGCCCAGGCACACTACAGGGAGGATTTCTGCATTCAGAATCATGCAGTAAATTTTCAAATCTCCATAAACTAGAAAAAAACCCCAACATTTCTTTAATAAAGCAAGAATTGTGGAACAAAGCTAATGTATGCCCTTCACGCAACATCAACAGAGGCTCAGTGAGTTGTTAATGCATTTACATTGCTATGTAACAGGAAAGAGAGATCCTCTCTGAAGATTTTCAATAACCCTTAGACGCCAGAAGAGTGAAATAACTCTGTTAAAAACTAAGAGACTCTGAGCATTTCTCACATTTCTGTGTTCATAGCAGTAAACTTTCAGGTAGGATTGCCACACAGCCTGGAGAGAACAGCACAAGGTCACAGCTCTGCATTTGGTATCACGTGTGTTCACTGAGAAATTGAGTTAGCCCACATCAAAACAGGTCCAGGGACTTTCAACAGCATGAGTGCTTAGAAAGAAACCTCTGAACACTGATCTTGCACTGTGAACTCCGCTGAATTGCCCAGTCTACCCCTGCTAAACAATAGCTGTGCCCATGATGGGTGATAAATAGTTTCTGTTATTGAAACGACATGTGTCTGTAGGGATTTAAAGATATCTCTTGGTTTAAAAATATCTTGAAGAAGGT